GCTTCAACGTGAAGTTAATTTTATTCCATGAGTCAGCTTCTGGTGGTACTGTAGTGGCCTGCATTAAAATGTGGTCACAGCCAAAATCAATCATCTGATCGTCACAAAGTATATCTACACTTTGAAAAGGTACAAATATTGGTCCAAAACTTAGAAAAACAACAAAAACAGCAACAATAATGATAATAATAATGTAATTTGTGAAGCGCTAATGAAAGCGATTAAGACAAATTTGGGCGGGCCCTGGTTGGGATCTATCCTAGCAAGGAGGAGAATCATCTGGAGCAGGGATGCTGACAGACACTGCTTCATAGACAAAATCCATGTGAGAGGGAGGGTTGGTATCCATTTGCATCGCCTTTTCGATATTTTGTAAAAGAACCAGGCGAGGCTGGTTGCCGACGTAAACGCGGAAACCTTTGCAACAAAACTGAATCATTCTTTCAATCAGCCCTATCTAGCCACCTACCTAACCAACTATCTAACCAACTGCAACCAACTTAAAAAAAATATACCGCAATATCCTCAACAAAGTCTCTAAAAAATGCATTTCTGTTGTCTGACATAAAGAATGTCCCGTGCCTTCCCAAACATCACAAACAAACCATTAACAAAAGAGACACCCTTTGCCAACATGACTCTTAGTCAACCCTGGTACAAACAACCTTCACCACACAAATCATTACAAAAATAGCAACCTATAAAAAAAAGTGGCACCAATTCGTTAAACAACTTAGCCAACATAAAAGCTCCAAGTTCTGGAAACTCATCCGTAAAACTAGACAACAAATGTCCCACTATCCCCAATTGCCCAATAATCCTCAACAACAAGCGAATCACTTCCAACAATCAAATCGTCATACATTTAGGACAATGAAATCTCATCCAATAACCAACACTCCAACTTTTACAGCTCACGACATAAAACCCGCCATCAAAAAATCCACAAATTCAAAAGGTATTGGTCCTGACAACACTTCCAACCCCAAACACATGTTCACTTTGGTCTTACATTCATTGCCCTCCTCTTTAATCGTTCAATCCAGCATTGCAACATTCCTGCCATTTGGAAGAGATCCACTCAGACCTGTAAAAACACCACTCTGTCTTATTCCCACCTCCAAATTTTTCTACTCTACCCTATTGTAAAACTTCTTAAATGTCTTCTCCTTCCAACAATCGCCTCTCACCTTCCCCCAGCTGACCACCAACATGGCTTCCGCCCGAAACACTCCACCAATACATCCTTACTCTAGCTCTCTACAAACATTGCCTATAGACTCAACCAAAAATGCCGACCCACCGTACCATTGCCATCGCACTCGACCTCACGACCTCACCAAAGCATATGACTCAGTTAACAAAACAACAACAACAAACACTCAACACTTTCAGCTTATCCCGACTAAACACCATCATATCATCACTTCCTCACAATGACACGAACAGACTTGCACTTCGCCATATCCCCAATACCACAGTCTTCAATACTATCAACTCTTTTAAACCAAACCAATTACT